CATTGTTCACCTGATTTTCCACTTTGATTAGAAGAACACATCAGTTGAGCTTCGCACAGGCGGAACGAAAAGGCGCAAATCGGTTGGGCGGAGGGGGCGCAAATGTGCAGAAGACAGGGGCCCCCAAGATGTGGGTTTTATCCTGGGTTTTGTTTGTGATTGGACACACTCTCTGTGGTTACAGTAGCATGAACACTACACACTCTGTCCACTATTGTCACTTTGAAAAGTGGAGAAGAAAAATGAAGCCAACATGTGGTGAAACATCCCACTCTGACACCGCTGCACTGGCAGATTGAGGAAATTAAAACAAGTGCCGATAAGTGTCGCTTTTGTTTGCTAACTTTAAGTTACCTAACCAATTTGTTAGCTTTTAGCTGTATTTTGGCTACCCTCGTCTTTGGTCATTTTTGTGCTGTTTTGTGCTCACTTTTATTTACCTAACTGGTTGGAAATGCTTATTTATTGTTATGCTAGCTAGTTTGTTTTTAGGTAACATTTTTTCTACTTAAATTTATTGGTCTTACTTTTGACTAGCATTTGGCTAATAGCTTCCCATCGTTGATTCTGTTTAGGTATTTTGCAGCCTTTTGTTCAATTTTTCTTCCAAATTGGAACAAAATGTTTGGCTAATGCTTAGCTATAACGCAGCAAGAAGCAAGTTGTATCATTTTGGCCTTTTTTGTGGTTTCTGCGAAAAGTATTTATGTCTTAAGTACATCTTTCAGTTGACCTATTGCAATGCTATCGTTACCTTACTTTTAGCATTCCTATTCCTAAGTGTACCATGTGTACCAGGTTTGATCTTAACAAAAACTCTCTGCTAACTCTTCATTCAGCTAACTTGCTGTATAGTCCTCCCACATACACACTAAACACCATCACTAGCACTACTTTCACCCCCAGCCCCCACCCTTCACTCTTTTTTTGACCCAGCAAGAGAGCTTAGAAAAGAAGCGTGGGTTCTATTCATCCTCCACCATCACCTCCTCCTCCTTCTCCTCCTCCTCCTCCATCAGCAGCCTCACTGAATTGAAACCTATCCATGCTCTGTCACTGTTCTCCCACAGTCCAATTAGTGTTTTGTTGGGCCCTCTCTCTTTATATTGGAGGGGTTCTCCAGTCATAGCCCGGTGTAATAATTAATATGACATCTGGATCTACATCCCCTCCGTGCTCCACTTTAACCACTGTTTTCTGTATTTTTCTGGCTTTTCTTCTATTAGGTGTTGCTGACGCAGAGCACGAAAGAATCAGGGAAACTCATAATTAGCCTCTGATAATCAGATTATATGTGTCCGTGTGTGAAATGCGGGATTAAATTCCCATTTGTTGTCATCAAAAAGTATTTTACTGTTTTATTAAGGTCCTGTGAGTCCATATATATACATATATAATAGGTAAGGGGAAACAGCTTGGGTAACTAGCTCCTCTGCAACAAAGAGTAAACTTTTTGTCTTTGTATTAACCTCTAACGACATACATTTTACACAGATTTGTTACATATGAGGCCTTTTATGTAGTTAAAACCAGGATTTCTGTTTTAAAAAAAACGTTGTAAAGAATAAAGTGACAGTAGGACAAAAAGTTCGTTCAACTTCATGGTATTTACAAAAAAATACGACCGTTGCTGTTTCTCGACTGGATTGTTTTGAACAGTTGTGATAAAACACCGCCCTCCAGTGGTCGAACGATAAACCCAGATGACATACAAGCAATGTTTTTACTTGGGTAAAGTCAACCTGGCTGTGGGATGAATTCTTCTATTTTAGAGCTTAAAATTAATTCTGTGTAACAATTTTGAGTTTAAAGATAGAATTAACACAACGTTCTAGAAAGAAATATAAATCAATTAAAATTGCATTTAAAAAAGCCGTAATTCTAACAAGAAATATGTAACTCAGTTTTCTTCAATTTGTACTACTACTACTACTAGTATTATTAATAATAATAATAACAATATTAAAAATAATAATTAAGACATCAAGTAATACATGTGTCACATATTTCTGCTTAAGATGGCAGTTGTATTAAAACACTGAGCATAACTTGCAAAAATAATAAAACTATTTAAAATACATGGATTTTTGAAATAATCCTCCAGCCAAGTTCTCGTCGTGTGTGCGTTAGAAGTTAATTGTAATCGCCTCCGTCCAGAAAGTCATGGTTAACTGATTTTATTTATTTTTGCGAAAGGTAATTTTGGACATATAGGACCGCCGTAAAGTTTGGATCACGTGGTTTTGTGTACCTCAGAGTGGCCGGTAAATGCAAAACTAAGCTAAATAGGTAGCGTTCGTCCTCGTTAGACGCACGTTTCATGAACGTATTCGAGGCTTTGTTTGTTTGTACTTTTGAAATAATGGGATACTTCTGAGTATGTATGTATTCTTAAATTATGTCTTTATGTTACGCAACCAGCGTTTAAAACAAACGCTAGGTGAGCTAAACTGGTGCTAATTAGCACTCGAGCTAGCTGCAGTGAGGTTACAGCTTCATGTCGTTTTATCGTTTTTTGTAAGTGTGGTTTGCCTTTATACAAATGAGGTCTTTAAATTACGTCCAAAGGATTAGTTTGGATTTTACAGGAACCTTGTTTCCTCACGCCATCTGTCTGGGGGATGCGGACAATGACTCGGTAACGAAACTGTGTCACGTAAACTGTCTAAAAATCAACATTTTTCTGTCCTGCACCATTTTGAAAATTCTATAATCTGTCAACACCAAGTGTGTTCCTTTATTACAGTTGAACGAGCTCATTGTTGGAGACACCAGTGGGAAACTGTATGTTTATAAGAACGACGACAGTAAACCATGGGTTACTAGGACGTGTGTAGGGATGGTGAGTGACCTTCCTAAAATCACAGGGATTATTAAGTCATAAGTCAGTTTATTGGTTTTGTATATGACTGCATTTTATTACTTGTGTGCCGTGTTCGCAGCTCACGTGTGTTGCAGTTGGAGATGTTTGTAACAAAGGAAAGGTGAGAAAACAACAACCGAGCATCAAAACAACACAAAAAATAAATCCTAAAAAGTGTGTTTTCTTCTCCTTTTCTGCCTCTGACAGAACTTTGTAGTAGCTGTGGGAGCAGAAGGCTGGTTCCACCTCTTCGACCTGACGGCTGCTGCTCCAAATAAAGCCGATTCCTCCAGTCAGCATGAATTTCA